AATAACCCCCCCTGCCACTGGGATGGAGGGAGGGGCAAAAGAGGTGTGCCCCCTTTTTAGACACCTTGTGGGAGCTGAGCAGGATGGGCCAGAACTTAGCTGTGGGACCATATGCCTCATTACAAGGGAGGCTGGAAGAAGCTCTGTTTCTGTTGGCTGTGAGCCCGGCTGAAAGTCAGCATTTTGTTCCTGCGGTCAGAAATAGCACATGTTGGAACTTGGGGTGGGTGGTCTCTGCCCCAGCACCCCTCTTGTGTCCTTCCAGTGGGCCTCTGGGCATTTCTCCCCCCGTCACTCTGCACTGTTGGTCTCCACCTTTTTCTGCCAGTCCCTGTGGATAGCGTGGTGGCTGATAGGAGTGTTTTTCGGGGTTTATCGGTGAATGATGGGTAAGATGAGGGCTTGTAAAGGAAGTCCTGCTTCATCCATCTGGCTTATGAAAACTCATCACAAAAAGAGCACATATTAAAAGTCACAAAGAATTTAGATAATTCAAGGTCAAGATATAGAAACACTCATTAAGGGGAACTGCACAGGCTTGGTGATATGTCACAGGGCCTAACGGTTTATGGTTCTGTAAATATCTGTTTTTTACCTCTAATGATAAGCTGAAACCAGTTTTTTTGTTTGTTTTGTTTGTTTGAGGTCTTTTTGGAAATGTAGTTTGTAGAGACATTTCAAGCAAAATTAAAGTTATCAGATTCTAAACTGAGAACAGTTTAACTTAAGCATGATTTAAGTCTAAGCAGGGTTTAGGCTTTTGGAACTAGTGTTTTTCATCTTCCCTCTGTCCACTGTATAATGTCTGCTACACTGTGCTTAATTTCAGAAGCCTAACAAGAAAATGCATCTCTCGTTACATATAATCACGTCAAATTGAGAGGCGTTATGTGGTATGGCTTAACACTTTGGGATTTGTTAAAGACTATTTTTTATTATACTTTGGAATAATTAGCTTTTATAAAGTGGGAGGATGTACACATTGTAAAATTTCTCTTCCCTTGGTTTGTTAATATTTTGGTTTACACAATTTCCTAACAGTTGTACAGCTAGTGGCTGTGATCAGAAATTCAACACAAAATCAAACTTGAAGAGACATTTTGAACGCAAGCATGAAAACCAGCACAAACAATATGTGGTAAGTATGAATGATTTTATATGCTTAAACTCTGATTTTTTTAATGTTCATTGCCTGTGTGTCTAAAATTTTCATCAACCAAATTTTGTTGGTCAAATATCTGAATTTAGGGGCTTCCCTGGTGGCGCAGTGCTTGAGAGTCCGCCTGCCGATGCAGGAGACGCGGGTTCGTGCCCCGTTTCGGGAAGATCCCACATGCCGCGGAGCGGCTGGGCCCGTGAGCCATGGCCGCTGAGCCTGCGCGTCCGGAGCCTGTGCTCCGCAAATGGGAGAGGCCACGACAGTGAGAGGCCCGCATAACGCAAGGAAAAAAAAAAAAAAAAAAAAAAAAATCTGAATTTAGTTTGACACTAGCTATCATAATAATGGTTTATTTTGAAAGCAGACTTTTTTGCTAATTAAAGTATATTATTGGTAGACGACCCCAAATGAAACGTTTTTGCTGTTTCATATGTGTTACTCTTCAAAGCTTCCTGAATTTTATAGTAACTAAATGGATGAAAGTAGCAAGTATGTAATTTCTGCGATATTTTTATCTTGAGAGGATTCTGTTACGAGCTGTTCTTGATTTTTTTTTTGAGACTAACAAACCTTTACTTAAACAGTGCAGTTTTGAAGGTTGTAAGAAGACCTTTAAGAAGCATCAGCAGCTGAAAATCCATCAGTGCCAGCACACCAACGAACCGCCGTTCAAGTAGGTACTTTACGTGGGTGAAAACCTCTTAAAGCCGTTCAAGTAGGTACTTTACGTGGGTGAAAACCTCTTAAAGTTCAGGTGGGGATAAGATTAAAATGCATAGGTTGCATACCAATGCTCAGAAACAGTTTCTTAATCAACATTTTCCTGTTAAGTTGTACAGTGTATACCCATTTATGTATTGGGGTATTTCAAAAGTTTGTACTTTTGTTTCTCTAAAAGAAAGATTTAATGTGTTTCAGAATAATTTGTGAAATTAGTACAATTGTGGTTAAGCTTGAAGGGAAGGCTTATGTCTTAACTACTCAAATAGAGCCTGTTCGGTGGTGTGAAATGTCCTTATGCAGATGCTAAGTATTCCTTTCCTGTAGAACAAAGGTATCTGGGCTTAGCCTGCATCAGAGAGGGTTTCAGGAGGAACAGGAAGAGGTGACTGGATGTGTTGGAAGACACCTGCAAAGGGCACCTGCTGATGGCCGTCCTGCGAGCCGTGGCTGGCGCTGTGCGCGGCGGAGCTGTCCCCTGCCTGGGACTTGTTGTCATGACAGTGCCCATCCCTGCTTGCAGCTCTGCCGCCTCTTCCTGTGCCGCTGGTGGCCTGAGCGCACAAGGGGCGCCCAGAGGCCATGCATCTGCTGCTGTGTTTTCTTTTCACACCATCCCATGGCAACATCATTAGAAAAACCAGACGCAGATGACTCAGGATGGCTTAGGTGTTTACCGGAGCCATCTTTCTGTTGCCATGAAAATGGTATATTTTCAGAGGTATAAAGGTGAAAACTGTTTAATTTGATCACATAAGCAAAAAAAAAAAAAAAAAAAAAAGGAATGACTTTTTTCTCTCAGTTTGTTCTGCCCAAGGCTGGTGAAGTAACTTGCATTTCATCTACAACTAGGTCTGAATTTGAAATCCCATTTTTATGACTGGTTTGGTTGTGGGAAGAGGAGACTTTGGCAGGATGAGGATGACATACTGTTTAAGTACAGTTCTGTCTGAAAACGGATCAGCTAACGTTCATGTGTTGTTGACCCAGGTGTACCCACGAAGGATGTGGAAAACACTTTGCTTCCCCCAGCCGTCTGAAGCGACACGGGAAGGTCCACGAGGGTACGTACTGGTGCCCGCTCTGACGGGCACACCAGCAGTAGAGCGTGTTTAATTCTCTGACTGCTCGAGTCTGTGGTCATCCCGAGAAGCTGAAACTGCGTGGGCAGGGGCTCCATCTGCCTGTTCAGGTTTTATGCTCTTGACCAAAGAAAGAGGTGCTGGGTGTCGTGTCTGCCCTTCCACTCCCTGTTGTTGCTGTGAGTTAACATTTATTGCTTACAGCCGTGCCTGCTTATGCTTCCTCCTTGTGAAAGGGTTGGAACTCCAGCCGTGGCTTTGCTGCTCCAGCTGCTTTTAACCTCTTCTCTTTCCTTTCCTTGTTGGCATTCAAAGGACTTGGATTATAGTTTGAGGTTTTTGGAATAATCAGATTGTAACTTTTTTCAGAAAGACTTGATTAAGCCAACAGCTTGAATCTCTTCTGTTTCCATGAAGGATTTTTGATACATATTCCAGTTTCCCAAACCTTAGAATTTATATGACTTTTTAAATTTTTTATTTATTTATTTATTTTTGGCTGCGTTGGGTCTTCATTGCTGTGTGCGGGCTTTCTCTAGTTGCGGCGAGCGGGGACTACTCTGTTGCGGTGCGCGGGCTTCTCCTTGCGGTGGCTTCTCATGTTGGGGAGCACAGGCCCTAGGCACGCAGGCTTCGTTAGTTGTGGCACATGGGCTCAGTAGTTGTGGCTCGTGGGCTCTAGAGCACAGGCTCAGTAGTTGTGGCGCACAGGCTTGGTTGCTCTGCGGCCTGTGGATCTTCCTGGACCAGGGCTCAAACTTGTCTCCCCTGTATTGGCAGGTGGATTCTTAACCACTGCGTCGCCAGGAAAGTCCCCTTTTTTTTTTAAACACAAGAGACTAGTAGTTGAGTCTTTTAGTTTCTATCTGGTATTTAATTGGGTGAAGCTCAGGCTGACTGTTACACTGACTAATCCAGTTCAAGTGCTTTGCACAGTGTCCATTTTTGTGCACAGAGTTTTTCTCTGGAATCTTGTTTTCTTTTTTCCCTTAGCTGCTTCTTCCTAGTTCTTTTTGGCAGCGTGAAATTTACAAGATATTGACACTACAGGAAGCTGGGGGTGGGCACGGTTATCCTTGGTGGTTTATCCAGGGCAAAGGGATGAGTTAAAAAAGAGGCAAAGGTAAAGCAGGGGGAGGGGAAAGGGGCCTTGAGCCATGGAGGCGGGGTTGGGAGGCGCATCACAGCAGCTGGGAGTTCGTGGCCCATGTGAGATCAGGAGAGGGAGGGCCTCTTCCTGAAGCCCTGCTGAAGGGAGAGCCTATATGGAGGACCTTGACATGCAGTTGTTTGGTTTTACTGTAAAATAAACTTTTCTTAGTTTTCATTTTTTTTGATAATTTGCTTGATTTTTATGATAATTATTTTCCTTTCAATCTAATTATGACTGGTATTTATGCCAAGTATTCACAAAAGGCAATGCACCAATCTGTGTTTTTTTTTTTTGAAATAGGCTATATGTGTCAGAAAGAATGTTCTTTTGTGGCAAAAACATGGACAGAGCTTCTGAAACATGTGAGAGAAGCCCATAAAGGTAAGGCAGGCATGCGGGGCATGATATAAATATCTGCCCCTGTGGAACTGATGGAGTGCTTTTAAAGGGTGAAACATTAAATGTGCACTTGAAAATACAGAGTTTCTATAGTATGTCTGGTAAGTGCAGGGTACCTCAGCTGTTTGACACGTGAGCAGAGATCCGTGGTCCTGGGCCGAGGCCTGTGCACATTTTAAAGGCTCGGGCAGGTGAGGACTCCGGGGAGGCACTGGCTGATGTCTGCGGGGCAGTGTGGGAAGCGCGTGCCCTGTGTGTTGGGGGACACAGAAGAAAACTGGTCCGTTTAACTCCCTCCCCTTGCTGCACCCCCAGGTGGAGAACCCCTGCTGCTTGCAGACAAAAACAGGGACTTCATGTCATGTAGGAACTTGGAAAAATTGAGGCACACTTTCAAGCAGTAAAAACTGGAGTTAGTTTTCTCCCAGATTTCTAACCTATGTGTCATCATAAGGTTTGGGGCATCGAATATGTCGCTTGATACATTCCATATTAGTTTTTCCTGTATGGTAACACCTGGGAAGTGGGCTCAGTTTGCTAGTCTGCTCCCGCAGAGGACATAACATGTGACGTGTGCCAGAAGACATTTAAGCGCAAGGATTTCCTGAAGCAGCATATGAGAATTCACGCGCCGGAGAGGAACGTGTGTCGGTGCCCCAGGGAAGGCTGCGGCCGCACCTACACCACTGTGTTCAACCTCCAGAGCCACATCCTCTCGTTCCACGAGGAGCAGCGCCCGTTTGTGTGTGAGCACGCTGGCTGCGGCAAGACATTTGCCATGAAGGTGAGCACCCCGCCCAGGCGCAGTCCTTGGGGGCTGCTGGGCTCCAGGGAGCCTGGCCCCAGGCGGCAGATGGGGAGGCTGCGGGGGACTCGGGCCCTTCACTTCTGCTCCAGCAGGAGTGGTTCTTCACCAAACTCTGCGAGCAGACAGATTCGCCCCTGCCAGTGCTGTGCTCAAAGTCTGGCCCTCAGCATCGCCAGGGAACTTGCGAGAAATGCACATCCAGACCCACTGAATCAGAAGTTTGGGGGATGGGCCCAGTCATTTTTGTTTTAACGAACTTTGCAGGTGATTCTTACGTGACGGAATTTGAGACCCAGTGGCCTCTGGTACCATATGCTTATTATTTATGAGTCTGTTGATATTTGGGGTGTCCTTCTGGGCTGCCATCATCTGGGGATTGAGAAGGGGAGCAAGAGACAAGGACATGGGGGACCTTAGAGCTTCAGGACACTGGTCTAGACTTGGAGACCGTGACCCCAGGTGGAGGGGCCCGTGCGGCTCCGAGGACCCACGCCCAGTTGATGCTCTCACAGACGCTCGTGTGAACAGTGGTAGAGACTGAAGTGGGGGTGAGGCTGGCTTAGCACAGCCCAGACCGTGAGAAAACCACGGAACTGCTGGTGGTCATTGTTCGTGCTGAGGACAGCAGGACTTGGGTCAGATTTTCCACTGGTGTTTGGCGATGCTGATGACACAGATTCAGTTAGAAGAGCCTCCTTCAGCTCGGAAGGGTTTTCAGAACTGGCCCCCCAAACCCCTTACTATGAAAGAACTAGGAAGCCACAGGCACACGTGGTGAAAATGTATACATTCCTAACCTGGGTCCTTGGAAAAGGCAGTGATTTTAGTCCAAGATTTAAGGAACAGTTCTGCTCCAGTGGTAGAAGTCAGATCCCTCAACAGAATGTAACAGAAAGAAGGCTGTCCATTTATTTAAATTGACTCATGGGGTTTTCATATTAGCAGACACCAAATACCAAGTGGCAGTGTTTTACAAATAAAACTGTCTTTCTTTTTCCTTCATTGTAGCAGAGCCTCAGCAGGCATGCCGTTGTGCATGACCCTGACAAGAAAAAGATGAAGCTTAAAGTAAGTTGAGACTTAGCAAGCTGTTAATTTTAAAACATAAATTGGCTTAAACTAGATGCAATCTATTTAGCATATTTTCAATTACTTATTACTGTGTGAGTCTGTACTACTATACAGAGCAATTGTGTGGATTTCACTTTCTTCCTTTACGACAGTTCTGTTGTTGTATATACTGCAATAGTTGTATACCTGATATGTATACGATTCCAGTAGTTTGGATTTTGAATTCGAGTTCCAGTTGTCCCTTGGTATCCATGGGGAATTGGTTCCAGGAACCCCCAGGATACCAAAGTCCGCAGGTGCCCAAGTAAAGTTATATGAGGATTTTTGACTGCTCAGGTGTCCACGTGCCTAACCGCCCCCCCCAAGTTCAAGGGTCAGCTGTATTTGCAACCTCCGCACATCTTCCATATACCTTACATCATCTCTCTGTTACTTACAATACCTAATACAATGAAAATGCTATGTAAATTGTTGGCACACGGTAAATTCAAATTTTACTTTTTGGAACTTTCTGGATTTTTCTTTTTTTAAAATATTTTTGATCAGCTGTTGGTTGACCCACAGATATAGAGGCCTGCCTGTAATCTGTCTTCCTTATTCCCAAAGGTGAGACCGTCTCATGAAAAACGGAGTCTGGCCTCTCGGCTCAGTGGGTACATCCCTCCTAAAAGGACACAGGACCAGGGGGTGTCTTTGCCCAGAAACGGGGAGACTGCACTGCCTTCTGAACTGCACTAAAGGCAAGGTGCCCTCCGCCGTGGCAACGCTGGCCCCAGCTACACACCAGAGTGCTTTGTTTGAAGGACCGCAGACCAGCCAGCTCAGTTATTTTCTCTCAGAAGCATGTTTTTATTAAAATCACTGGTGCAGAGCATTGGATGCTCCGTCGTTTCCATTTCCTCTGTTCAGAGCGTCTCCTTTCTGGGTCCCCAGAGCTGATCTGCACGCATTCTCTTCCTTTTGGCTCAAGGGACGAAGCACACACATCACAGCCTTTCCCCCTCTAATGGGCTGTGGCCTGGATGAGAAGGTAGCTATTCCAGGCATAGTCTGGAGTATTTGATTACATATCTCCTCCTAGAAAAGGAAAACAGCCAAAGATGAATTTAAAACCAACATCTTTGATTCTTCCCCGTGTTAATGCTCTAATACACATAAAAACCAGCATGCTTGAATTGCTGCTATTTAAGGGATTTGCTGAATCGAATGGTACATACCTGGTTAAGTTGACTGAAACCTGTACAATAAGCAGGCAGTTATACAAACTCCATGTAACTAGGCTAATGCACTAAAAGCTTGATAGTTTTAAATCCCGTCGTGGCACTGAAGGGCTATGTTTGGCCCAGACCACCCTCTCGAAAAAAGTGCAAAGCAGTGGGTCTGGGCACTGGCAGAACCCCTCCTTCCCCCCCCAGGTTGTCAGCCCAGTGCCGTTCCCAGCACTCATTCACAGAGTCATTGGGGTGGTTAGAAAAATTCAAACAACTCAGTTCTAGAGATTCTGGATCAGCTGGGCTGGGCCGGGCCCTAGGCCTGAGTCATTCTAACGTGGAACTAAGGTTGAAAACCGCTGGAATAAATGCTGCCTTTAAGATGCTGCAAGTTGTCTAACTCCAAAAGCAAAGTAGATAGTCCACAGACTTATCCTGGGACTGTAAACTGATTGATAGACACTTTCTGGAAGACAACTTGACTTTATATGGAATGCTGCTTATAGGCCTTTATAAAGAGGAAACAGACTTTAGAAGATGAACCCGTAAAGTTTCTAACTTTCCTATTTAAGTGTTGGATCCTCTAGAATTTGTAAAACAGAATAGCATATAGCCTGTAAGTTATAAAAGAGTTTTTCTTTTATAAATTTATTTTTAGTTTTGCATTGGGTCTTTGCTGCTGCACGCGGGCTTTCTCTAGTTGTGGGGGCTACTCTTTGTTGCAGTGCGCGGGCTTCCCATTGCGGTGGCTTCTCTTGTTGCGGAGCACGGGCTCTAGGTGTGCGGGCTTCAGTAGTTGTAGCTCGTGGGCTCTAGAGCGCAGGCTCAGTAGTTGTGGTGCACGGGCTTAGCTGCTCCGCGGCATGTGGGATCTTCCTGGCCAGGGCTCGAACCCGTGTCCCCTGCATTGGCAGGCGGATTATTAACCACTGCACCACCAGGGAAGCCCTGTGAACTAGAGTGTTTTCATGTGGGGAAGTATTTATGCTACGATGGAAAAAGTAACGTGTACATTTTGCATTTTGAAAAACAAATCGGAAAGCTACTACCGTCATTGGGTAGTAGTAGGTACTTTTCTTTGACTTTACGTTCCCCAGATTTTCTACAGTTGTATTTTTAAGATCAGAAAGAAAACAAAACCACACAAGCAGTCAGTCACACCTGCTTTTACTTACCATTTTGTTTTCTGGCTCTTCTGTGGTCTTCCCTTTCTTTATTGTAATTTGAACTTTGTACTTTTTCTTGATCCACTGCTGAATCTGTTTACTCTTTGTGTCCAAATCATGTTGTCCAATATTTGAAGAAAAAGTCAGTTCCTTTGTCAGGGTGGGTCCTGGTTTGAAAGAGTGAGACTTGGCTCTAGTCTGTGTGAGGTCTATGCTTCACCACATGCTCGTCCTAAGTCTACATTGCTTTGGGGGCCCTAAAAGTCCTCCTGTCCGGTAGTTTCACACGCCAGTAAACATTTAAACACGGGAGACAGACACAGGTAAAACACCAATTTTTTACCTGCCAATTAAGAGTATTTCAATATGGAATGCTTCCGTTTATCGTTACCATTGTCTCATGAAAGAACAAAGAAGTGGTCCTTTAAAAGGAACCAGTTAATCCTTATTCTTATTTTGGATGGTGGGTAACAGGTGTTTATTATATTTTTTTCTTTAGGCTTTCTTTTCTTCTTATATTTTTTCTTCTTTAAATAAAAGTAATTTTTTCTAAAAAGGAGTTCTTTTATTAACACCTCTTTGCTTCCTTACAGCTCCTACCAGCTGGTCTGAGTTCTCTGTCAGCCCTTCAGCCATCTCTGAACCAAGCTTCTCAGGCTGTTCACCTTTTTGTTTTAAACGTGACACAGTTTGATGTCCTTATCACCCTAGCTGGCCTTTTGTGGATAGTTTTTGTTTTCCAGTCAACATCTCTGTTGTTAAATGTGGTGTCAGAAAACTGACACGTGGCCTTACTGTGCAGCTCTGGAGCCAGCCTTCTGACCTCTGTCCCAGTGTGTTTTCCATAATGATCAGCACTTACTAGGAATCAGGAAAAGCAAACCTCTTCACTTAATATCCAACTCACGGCTTCTGTACGGTTTAAATGACAAGTGCGCTGGCACATCACGTGAGCGTTCCTACCCTTATTGTGACGAAACGGGCATGGGGCACACTCCAGGAATCACTTCAGAGTTAGGGAGCGCTTCCTTGTGATTAACTGCACACCACCCCCGCCCCTTAGAGATGATGGGAGCAGGGGAGGAGGACGCCCCGACAGGTGAGCGGCCCAGGACAGGACCAGGAGCCCGCCCCACCTGTCCACGTCATCATGCCCGTGTGCAGTGGAAGGCCAGGCAGCTGATGGGGGCGGTTAAGGGGTTCCCATTATTTTGGTGGTGGTCACCTTGTTTTCCCCTCATTTTACACAGGTGTAGAGGGAGACATGACAGACACAAGAGTAGCAAAAATAGAAAAGGGATAGAAACAAGTGGACGAAAAAGACACTGGAGACGGTGGTGAAAGGACGTCTCAGTTTCTCACTGGCCTGTTGTCACAGGGGCCCTGGCAAATCCCAGACCTCAGCTGCGGATCTGCAGCCCTGAGGACCTCGGGGGCAGACAGCAAGGTACCTACCAGGCTTGGGCTCGGCCCTCTCCATCCCTCTGAGCCGGAGCCGCTCCTGGTAGATCTGCGTGCCCGTCATGAGCTGGTACTGCGGGGGCTGGGCGCCGGGGTCCTTCAGCACCAGCCGCAGGTCCTGCTCGGCCATGAGCCTGATCACGTTCGCTCGGTGCATGGGGCCCAGGTCGTTGCCCTTCTCATCCAGCACCTGAATGATGCGCTCGTTAATTTTTCTTCCAACGTTACAAAAAGCTGTTTCATTCTTTTTTTTCTTCTCTCTCTTGTCCTGGGTGTCTTCAGTACTAAAAGCTTCTGCATGAATGAGGCAGGACGGTCTTGGGGCAGAGGCAATGTGGGATGGTTCCGCCAGCGCCGTCTTCTGTACGACGTATTTACCCAAAGGTCTTCTAATGCAAGTATTTTCCGTTTTTATAGTTTGTAACGTTAACCTCTTTAGAAAAAGAGCAGCCATCCTAAAAAGCAGGGAGAAAAGCTCACTGAAGTCCGATCACTCATTCCCATGGGTCGGTGCTGTGGAACATGGAGCGCGTGTGTGAGCCTGTGGGAACCTCACCTGTGAACACTGCAGGTCCATGCACAGGAAACTTAAAAGTTATTTTAGTTGACTCCGTTCCCCATGGATCTCACAGTGCCAGCTCCAAAAGCAGATATCACCCTGAGGCTTTATTTAGGACGATGCAGAATATTGAATCCCTGGTGACTCACAAACACCTCTTCATGAACGTAATGAACAACTTATCAATACATCTGATGGTCTACAAAAGGTACGAACACTGTTATGGGAAAGTGGACCCTCCAGGAAGACAGCTGACCCCCTGGAAGAATGAACTGGGACTCTCAGAAAGGAAATGCCCTGACATTAAAGTGGCCTCATGAACTACATCCATCACTCACAAGGCAGGTGGTGCATTGCTGCCAAAGGTGAGCTAAAGCGTCAGGCGCGTGTGGTCTGACTTCATGGCTATGAACGCTGCACTTAGAAGGGGCATTTTGATTTTTTAGTTGCTTGTCCACCATAATAAGTGTCCCTCCTACCATCCACATGACAGGTAGACCTGAGAAGTGTCTGAGGGAGTGATGAGAGGACCCGTTCATCTCATCTAGGGTTTGCTGAGAAACACGAGAGAAACAAGGACTCAGAGAGGTAGGTGTGTGCAGCTCGTCAATGAGAGAAGAGGATGTGGTGCCTTAGACGGCGCTTCTCAGAGAAGGCTCCCTGGGGCACCTGCTCGAGCATCACCTGGGGCGTCTGTTCAGACTGGAAGCTCCCTTTGGTCCAGCTCTGATCCCACTGGGCTGGGTAACCAATCCCTCCTACCCGTCACCACCACCAACGCCCATCGTCGACCAGTGACATGGGTTGGGGGAATGAACAGCAAACTATGGAAAATGATGGGAGGCGCACGTTCTCACCTCCCTCCCCCACAGGTCTGTCGCTATGGCTCCAACCCCCCAGCCCCCCCAGAACGCCACCCTTGCAGAGTTAACTGCTCACCCAGCCCCTCCACGCAGATACCCAGCGGGCACCCTCGTCAGCACGGCCAGAGCCGAACTCCACCTGCCCTGCTCCCTGCTCTGTCCTCCCGTGTCCTGTCCTCACATACACCCTCTGACGCTCAGGCCCAGAACAGCTGAGTGACCCTTGACCCTTCTTTTCCAGCAGATCCCATTGCTGGCCCTCTAAAAATCAGCGGGATCCAAGCACTCCACCTTCTCCCTTGCTGTCTAGCGCCCTGCCCCTGACGCGCCCTCATCTCTCACCTGGATCAGGTCCCAGCCTCCTGACCGCCCTCCCCGCTGCTGCCCCTGCCCCTTAAAACATGGAAGTCAGGCCGCGGTGCTCCTCTGCCCACAGCCCTCCGCGGCCCCCACCTTGCTGCAGAGCCCCCGGGACCAGGCCCCCACCCACCCCTGCCCACAGCACCCGCCCCGCTTCCTGCGCTCCCTGTCCCAAACGCACGGGCCTCCTTGCCATTCCTGTAAACACCGGGCGCGCCCTCCCCCCAGCCCCCGCCCTGGGTGGGATCCTCTCCCTCAGACGATGCCAGTTCATTTACTTCTCGGCGAGGCCTTCCCTGTCCACTCTGTCAACGGCACATCCCATCCTTTCAAACCCACGACCTTGCCTTTTAAAGAGATTCACTGCCGACATACACTGATCTACACACGAACACTCACAGTCTTTCCCCACTGGAATGTAAGCTTCATGAGAAAACGTCACTTGTCTACTTCGTTCACTGCTGTGCTCCCCACACTAGCGCCTACAGCCTGTCTCAGTACATACAGCCGTCCTCGGTATCCACGCAGGACCGGTTTCAGGACACCTGGCACGGACGCCAAACTCCGAGGATGCTCAAGTCCCTTATATAAAAAGCTGTAGTGTTCGCACGTAACCTATGCACACCCTCCTGTACACTTTGAATCATCTCTAGATTACTTATAATACCTAATACGATGGAAATGATATATAAATAGTTGCCTGGCACAGTCGCTTTTTGGAACTTTCTGGCAATTTTTTCTTTTTCGAGTATTTTCAGTCATGGTTGGTTGCAGCCACGGATGTGGAACCTGTGGATACGGAGGGCTGACCGTACGTGCTGAATGACTGCGTGAGCCCAAGGAAACCGCCAGGAGGCAGGCGGCATCTGGGGCCAAATCTCCACGTCGTCAGGTGCATCAGCGCCCCCCAACGCAGATGCGCTGTAAGAGTGCTCTTTTTATTCTAGAGATATTGAACTTTCCTCCGTATATTTTCTTCCTTTATTCAAAAGCTGGGGCCCTTTTTTCCAGGAGTATTCAGTCATACCGCTGTATCAGTTTTCTTCTGGTGCTTTTCTATAGTATCGTGAGAAGATATTGTCAGATTTATGAATAAACCTTGAATAAAATGATCCATGCTTTACAAAAAAAAAAAAAAAAATTCCCAGCTGGCATTTCAAATGTCCACCAACCTCAGTGAGATCTACGGCCAGATGCTTCATCCACAATGAATGGGTTACCTGACAGTCATTAACTGGGGATGCAGATGCTGTAAAGGCTCCACAGTGGGACTGAACTGGGTTTTAAATAGCTGAGATACTTACTGTTCAATAACAGACACTCAGATACTTGTTGCCACATGGCGGAAGCCGTCAAACCAAACAGAAAAGTCTGAAGACGCTGGAGAAGACTTTTCCATTATCCTCAGAAAAAGAGCAGCAGCAGCAAGTCCCAAAGTTCACTCTGAGTTAGGATGAAACTAGCAGTTCCAGACGAAAGCTAGTGTGCCCTGAGTAATGAACTATCAACACGTTACATAGAAAATACTATTCAATAGGTAGGATTTTGTAAAACAAGGAAGCGAATAAACAAACTAGGCACAGGAGAAAGATGAAAAGGAATTGAAGAAGAACCCTGAGGTTTCCTTAAGGTTGAAGACACAGTAATTTTCTTTCCCCTATTCTTCCTAATTACCATTATTTTTTCCAATTTCTTTTTTTTTTTTTTTTTGCGGTCCGCGGGCCTCTCACTGCTGCGGCCTCTCCCGTTGCGGAGCGCGGGCTCCAGACGCGCAGGCTCAGAGGCCATGGCTCACGGGCCCAGCCGCTCCGCGGCACGTGGGATCTTCCCGGACCGGGGCACGAACCCACGTCCCCTGCATCGGCAGGCGGACTCTCAACCACTGCGCCACCAGGGAAGCCCTCTCTAATTTTTTGTAAAGAGGAAGTATTTTTTTATACTAATAAATTCTATTTGTTTACAAAATAACTATTTCAGAAAGATAATGTAGATTTTTTTTAAAGCTTTAAAAACACTTTCCAAGAAGAGGAAAGGGTAAGAGTAGAAAAATTATTATAATAACAATAATTGAATATAATATATTAATATACAATTATTATATAATTATATTTTTATATTATGATATATAATTATATAAAACTTATACACTATATACTTTATATAAATTATAATTTATGAATTATAAAATTTATAAAATTATAAATTATAAAATATGAAATAATATTATATAAGTATATATGATAATTATATAACTATAATATATAATTATTAATGTAATAATTTAAAATGATTGTTGTTTACTTTTTTAAAGGTTCTTTGCTATTATTCAAATTTTAAAAGGCTTTAAATTTTCTTGACTTACACAGCAATTATGCTTCAACACTAGCTAAATTTTGGCTTTGGATCAGCAAAGAGGAAGATATACCTGTTTCTTCAAAGTAGGCTTTTCATAGATAAAAATATAAATAACAGAGTTAGGGAAAAACCTGTGATATGAAATTTGAATCAGAAACATCAACATAAATTCAAGTAATTGAGAAACTTCTTATTAGGAAAATTCTCAAGCATGTACAGAAAAAACAGCAAAATAAAGGCCTAAGCACCCATCACTTAGCTCCTTGATTTGCAGCATGTGGTCCAACAGGCTTTCTCTCCATCAGCAACTACTCCCGGGACCCCAGCATCTGTGAACTACTCTTCCGAGTAAATCCTGTGTCATCAGTAAACACTCCAGTAAGAGCTGAGGACTCCTGTATCTTTTGAATAAACACAGTAACACATCCCAACTGATAATCACTCCTCTATATGTTCAGATATCCAGTCTTCAGTTTTCCCTGATAGTATTACCATTCTGTTTACATTTCATTTACAGTTTCATCGCATGAAGAGACTCCCACGGGCCAAATGTGTGATAATTTAAACATCAGTGACCGAAATTCATTTCAACACACCGAATATGCAAAAATCTATGAAAAAGAAAGATAGTTAGCCACAACTGTATGTGACTGCTACTCTGACTCCTTACTCTGGAAATCGGTCATGGAAAAGGAACTAAGCATTTATCCTACCTTTTTAAGAAGAACTGTAATCACCCCGAATTGATGAAGAAAAGCGTTCTTTAGAGGAGAATGCCAGCTACTACATGGAGAAGAAAAGTAAAAGTAATTTGAAAACCACCATTTTGCCACCTCCGATCAAATCACTGACTCAGGCAAAGATGGATGCAAAAATCATTAGGTAAAAAGCTGATGAGGAAACAAGGTATTCAAGTGGTGCCAAAGGGTGACCCAAAGAATACTTCCAGACTGAAGTGGGAAATGTGCACTCTGGCCGTCACCCCGTAACAGAGGTCAGACTCAGCATCCTGACAGTCTAACACTCACCTCTTCACGTGATGGATGGTCCTTCCATGAAGCGGTCCTGCCAAAAAGATTAAACCTGAACCGCGTCAAGCCTCTAGACTTAGCTTCTAGTTTCCAAGGATACAAAGGCCAAACTAGAGAGGAACGAATGAGATGATACTACAAGGAAACAGCCTGACAAGTCCAGACTGTGGGACAAAACCACTGGCCTCAAGTCTTAAAATAAGAAAAGTCAGTGTTCCTGGGAACTTGAATTAAAAGACTGTGGAGACATATGGGACTTCCCTGGTGGCGCAGTGGTTAAGAATCT